CTCTCCTTGGTTTCGCTCCGAAACTGTCGCTGTCCGATCACCAAGCGAGTAGTCTAACCCAAACAGCGGGTGGTCAGTCTGCAGATTAGAAGTCCTTTTCGACCGGGGGCCCATGACCCTTCTGCTTTTACACGCTTTTCCCTATACTCTATCCTACCGACTACAGCCCTGATTTCGCTCGTTCTCGAGCTGTCGCATCCGACAGTTACGCATGGCTGTCGGATTGTGGGAATACTCCTTTAGCCGGTGTCGCAACGAAGCGCACTGTACTGTCCAATATCGCGCGTTTATTTGATCCGTTAGGGTGGCTCGCGCCGGTAATCGTGGTAGCCAAGGTCCTCATGCAGGATCTTTGGATTTTGACGTGGTTGGTAGCTAAGAGAGCGCCGATCTGTACAACCATCAGGCGTGGGATATGCATGGGCAGCTAACCAGGAGCCCGAAAGACTAGTAATGTCAACACGATACACAGGTGACTGGGATTACCAAGCTGTGTTCGTCACTGCCGATGTCATTGAAATGGCATTGAGGGCAGGCGGGGATCTGGTAGTTGGCGGACCCGGCGGTGAAACATGGAGTGTTAGGCAAGATGCGGTCAAGGTTATTCCTATCGCAGACAACGGCTTGCCTGATTGTATTGGTCGGGACGCCTGGATTATATCCCACTTAACATATCCCCTGGCTCAGGCTCTGGATGTGTATAAGATGGCTACCATTGGGGATGTAACGCCGGAAGGCAACCAGATTATCAGGCGCGAAACGTTCGTGCGCACAGCAGGTTTGGTTGACATAAATGACAAGACTTCCCGTATCATATTTGTCTTGCCTACAAAAACGACGTCATCAATATCCTTCGGTGGCGTTACGTACCGGGTCCAGAGTTGCGGTCACAGGGGGGATTTACCCGATGACTACGTCATTAGACGTCACAACATCAGCGACGCAGTGGATACGGTCGTTACTCGGCTTTTAACGGGGACTAGGTCTTTAAGGACCGCCTTTTCCGACTACACATCTAGTTATTTCCCCAAAGGTATTAATTGGTTGGAAATCAATTCTATAACCACAGCTCTGACTGTCCGATGGCATCAGAAGATCGAGGGAACCAACTGGGGTCAAGGGGAACAATCCTCCTATTATGGCGCTCCGAGGTACGTGTTAGAGAGCATGGGCCTTACTCCGGGTGAAGAGATCACTAACTTGAGTTACCAAGCATACGGTGGGTGGTCTTCGGTTCTTGGTATGGACCAAAGAGTGGTCACTCGGAGGAAGACACGTCGATATCCCTCAGTACGCATAGGCGCGTGGGATAATCTTGCATCGTTAGCAGTAGGTACGGGGTATGCGAATTACGATACCTTCAATACAGAAAATGATGTTCAGATTGCCGCCCGGTGTAAAAGTGGCGGGCTAGATCGGTTAAGTCGGGGTAGGCTTCTTAGGCGCGGGTTTGAGTTATTCAAAAGATCTGCTGTGCAGCAGGATAGGATAGCTTTCCCTGCAGAAGAACAGAACACAGAGAAGTATTGGAGTAGACTCATTATGGACCCGTTGGGTAAGGGCGCAACCACTAGCTGGTTCGCCAGCTACTTCATTACTGACAGTGTAGGCTTTTCTTGGGCTATTAACCAACATGCCCCGGCTAACGGTGGGACGTTCACGGGAATTCGCACACCCAGCTCCTTTTGGAGGAGCATTATAAACACGGAGTGGAGTGCCTTTACCATACAAGGTACGGGAAGACCAGGGGGTGAAGCTTATGCATTGGATACAATCCAGCAATCCTGGACTACCAACTGTTACGCCCAATTTGGACAGGGCGAGGACGATGCTCAACTCGAAGACGTAATCATGCGCCTGGACATGAATCAGCTAGTCGAGAGAGACTGGCAGCTGATGTATAAGACACACCCACACAACACTAGGATGGACGGGGTTGTGTGGGCTGTGGACGAGTCACACGGCGGGAGATTAGCTCGGAATTTGGGTTGGGAAGACAAGGGGAGCAGCCCTCCACCAGCAGACACATGGGGATGGGGCGTCGCGGCGCGAATCAAGGACTACACGAACGAGACCTTGAAAACACTCGTTATCCCGCGTGGTACGGCTAGCACAGATTTGACATGGTAAACGTATGCGAACGATGGTTCGAATATTGTCAGTCACTTTCGGCATTGCCTGAATTGAAGATTCCGCGTTGGCTAGGTCTAGTCTCAGTCGGGAACTTTCAGATTCATGCGTTTTCTGACGCATCATCTCGCGCTTTCGCCGCGACAGTGTATTTGCGGACGACGGACAAGAATGATTCTGCTCAGATTACATTATTAACGGCTAAGAGTAAGGTAGCTCCAGTCAAGACCGTGAGTATCCCGAACCTCGAACTGTGCGGTGCCGTATTACTTGTAAAGCTCCTCCGGCAGGTGCGGAGTCTAGAGTTTTTGCGCGATGCGCCGATATTTGCTTGGACTGAAAGCCAGATTGTGTTAGCTTGGCTTAGGAAGCATCCCTGTACTTGGAAGACGTTCGTCGCGAATCGAATCTCTTATATTCAGACTGAGATGCCGA